ATATGTAATACTTTAAACAATAAAGAATTTAAATTAAAAAAATAAAAATTAATAAAAAGCAGCCACTTGAATTTGTGCCAGCTCCAGAGTTGCCAATTTTTTATCTCATTAAACTTCTTTCTCTGTGTCTGTTTCTCCTCCTACCTGTGAGCCATCATTCATCATGCAGCAATGCTGCCTCTAATCCAATTCCATTCCAATCCTATTACCTTTATTAATAACAACTAGAGGCCCGGTGAACGAAATTCGTGGCACTCGGGCGGCGGGGGGGGGGAGGTCCCCCTCAGCCTGTGCCCTCTCGCAGTCCGGGAGCCCTTGGGGGATGTCCAACTGCCACGGAGGCAGGAGAGGCTCCCGCCACCACCGCTGCGCTCACCAGCCATGAGCCCAGCTGAGCAGCACTCCCCCTATGGGAGTGCACTGACCACCATGGGGAAAGTCCTGCGTTGAGCATCTGCCCCTGGTGGTCAGTGCGCATCAAAGCAACCGGTTGTTCCACTGTTCAGTCAATTTGCATATTAGTCTTTTATTATATAGGATAACCAATTAATGTTGGTGTTGAGTGTTTACTTTTACATATCAAATGCTAACCTAGTGCTTACAAATTAGCCAGACATTATTCTTGTACTTTACAAATATTAATATTTGTAACAACTTTAGAAGGTGGGCATCATAACCATCCCCACTTGTAGATGAGGAAGAAACTAGGTAACTTGCCCGAGGTTACACGGTTAATGTATAGCAGAGCTAGGAGTTGCACTGCACCCAGGTAACCTGGCTCTATCCTGTGAATCATCACGTTAGGAAGGAAAAAAGTCTTCTTCCATAATGAGAGAAAAAATTTAAGATGTGCAATTATATTTACCATTTCTTAAATGCCCACCATAAATCTGACCTTCACATACATTATTGCTAGTCCTGGCAAGCAGCCCTAAAGACAGAAGTTATTTTCCCCATTTTGAAGACAAGTAAACTGAGGCTCAGATTGTGACCTGCCTCCAATCACACAGCTGGTGGGGGAGCTGGAGGTGGAACCCAGAACAGCCGGGCTGCAAAGTCCCTGTTCTTCCCAAAATGTTGTGCTGCCGCCCTCATCACCTGAGGAGAGAGAAGGGAACTTGCACTCCATTTAAGATAGCAATCTACCATGTGAAAATGCTGTCCCTAGAAACGGCCTTATCCCTGTTCCAGTACGTTGAGGACTTTATTTTTAGACTGGCCTTCCCCAAAGGTTTCAGTTTTTTCTTCAGAACACCATTCCCTGAGGGCTAGAGGCAGCATGAGAGCAGACATTATTTTTTTATGCAAAGTTGATGAAATGACCTAAAAAAGTTAGAGCAGTGACTAAAACAAGCACATTTGTGGGAGTAAAATTATACTTCCCACAATTAAAAGAGCCAGAGTATGCCTAACATGCTAAGGAAAATTCCACTATCCCTCATCCTCAGACACTATTTTCATAATGTTCACTAAAAATTAAACTGTCTGGATAATTTCTAGAAATCCAAACAGTTGGTTAGAGTTGTATAAACTATGTGAATGGAGAATGCTTTCGCTTTTCTAAATGTTCATGCACATGCTTTAGACCTCTGACGTCAGT